ACTTATAAGTCTACTTATGACCTACTTACTAAGTCTCCCGACTCTCCAAGTAAGGACAGCTTGAGGAGGCTTAGGGTTCAGGCTCAAAGGGTTTAAGGTTTAGGGTTCAAAGGGTTGAGGATTTAGGGTTTAAAGGGTGTAGGGTTTAGGGTTTAAAGGGTTTAGGGTTTAGGGTTTAAAGGGTTTAGGGTTTAGGGCGCTCTGTGTATTAGAGATGTTTTTTGCCTTTTTCTTCTTTCTTCGATGAGGGTTCTAGAGGCTCTCCACGGCATTCTCGATCGTGCGGACGACCCTTACCTGAGTTGTGAAGCCATCGGGAACCTTTGAAGACCAGAGCACAAGCTCTGGTTATCCAAACTTTGTGACGTGCTGCACAGGCGGCAACCCTAAACTAAACCCCTAAACCCAGTGCTTCGTGTCGGGCTTCACTGTCCGTGGCCGGCTCAACGTCTCCCAACGTCAGAGGTGACAAGAACTGCACTTCCTTACCGGGGTTTCACTGTCAGAAGCTCGTCCCTTGCATCACGACGGTCGCAGAGCTCCTGATTCGCACGCGCTTGCCATGATCGAAGGGTTTAGGGTTTAGGGTTTGGGGGTTTAGGGCTTAGGGTTTATAGGGTTTAGGTTTCAAAAGTCGCTATGCCTCAGCGGCGCGTGAAATCAGCAGTCACTGATGTCTTTCGGCAGCAACTTCTCCTCAGCCAGTTACGCTCCGTAAGCCGGGTAGTTCTCCTTCAGGAACAATGCAGTTACAGGGTCAATCAAGTCATTGGAGTAGGGTTTGGGGTTTGGGTTTAGTTTAAGGTTGTGGAAGAAAAAGATACGGAGATATCAGTGCTAATCTTAAGGGCTCTGAGGCCTACGGCGCTTAGGCCCCAAGACCATCCTTCATGCGCTTATGTTGAGCCTGAGTGTTAGTGACTATTCGGGCTCAGCCGGGGTGAACAATCAACAAATGTATTGACATTCTGAACTCCCAAAGCCCTAAACCCTAAACCCACAAAACCCTAAACCCCTTACTAAACCCTAAACCCTAAACCGAGCCTAAACCCTAAAAGCTCCACACATTCAGGTCCTGAGAGTCGGGCTTGGGCTTGATAGGAGTTCGCGTTTTAGGGTTTAGGGTTTAGGGTTTAGGGTTTAGGGTTTAGGGTTTAGGCTACCCTAAGACCAAGAGTCCGTGTACCCAAACAGCATATTCTTTGGCCCCAAAGTACCTGCATAGGGAGCTGGATAGCTCTAAGGAGAAAGATATTACCATTATGGAATTAGGCCCCAAACGACAGTTCTAATCATGGTTTTGGAGGATTTTTCCATAATCGCTGTAGATGACCCCTCTCGGTTTAATAGATAGGAGTCTGAGTGATGAACACCAATGCTGCTGGGGTTGCCTTAAGATATTAGGACATACGCAGGGCTCTTTGAAATAGTCCTGGCGCCAGAAACCCCTTTTAAAATGACGGTCCCTTCCATCGATCTGTCTTTGATGTCAAACCCAATTTACAAAGCCCATAACACCTTATTACCAAAAGGAGCAGGCAGGCGACTCAATAGTCATTCGGGCTACACGCATAGAGCATAGACACACCCTCATCATGATCATCGAACTCTGCTTGAGATACCTATACGCCTACTATCACCACTGACCCCCCCCCCTGAACCTCCTACAGTAAACCCTCACTTGGCCTGTCCAGGGCTGTCTGCGGCGATGGAGCCAAGTCTACAAAGGGCTGAAGGCTGTTGCGCACCAGCCAGTTGACCTTGAACTGTTGAGCCGGATATTGGGTTGTCATAATAGTACTGTTGTCCTGCATTTCCTTGAGGGCCATATACTACGGGAATTATGGTATATTCCTTGTAATTGGGTAATGCAGGGTTTGTATCATCCACCGTAGGTCAGTATAGGGACGTTACTAAGCTTTCTGATACATTAAGATAAAACTATACATAAGGTCTGAGGGGAAGACCTATTGGACCTCTACATATTCAAGCCTGAAGCCAAGTGGGAAAGCCGATATACTGACAACATGAGACAATGGGACACCGTCCTGTGCATGAGGGGCTTCTATGGGTTCCACCCTGCCTCCGGCGCCTAGGCTTTGGCAATAAGAAAATGCAGGGGCCTTATAAATAATTAGAAGAGGGTTTTGAGGCACATTCTACTATAGTTTCAATAATATCAGGAGCCCCTTAAAATAGTCCTGCTAATTATTTAGGCCCCTACATTAGTGTAAAACATGCGGAATGTGATGCACTAATTAATATTTAGCCATTAGACCTACAGCAGATTGGGAACCTGTAGCTCCCGTGCCAGTCGCATCTAGCTAGCTGGGAGGTTTAAATGTGGCCTTGCTTTCTAAAAAAAAAAAGACTGGACTATCTAAGCCCCATGACTTTACAAAACCCATGCCCAAGAAGCCCTGTGGCCTCAACGCCTTAAACTTTCCAACCCAAAACCCTGCAAGCCTAACACCCTACCTTACAGCAGCAGTAGATGATTGGAGGCAAGAACCTGGCCTATTGCTCGCAAGGATCTTGAACAAACACCCATGAACAAGCCGAAACTCTTTCCAAAACCCAAAAACCCTTGCTTAAGGAACGAATACAGTTGAAATGGCTTTCAGCATCAATTCAATTTAAGGTCTATCGCTGAGTTGAAGGCATTCCGACTTTTTCTGGGACCGACTAACACCGATCTACAGAAGCCCTCATCGTTCTAGAGGGTCTGGGGTGGCAGAAGGACAGCTTGCCAGACTTCCTGTTTAATGTAGGGCCTTAATAATTAGAACAGGATTTCTGGGTATATCTTTCTATATACACTTAAAAAGGAACACCCAAAAGTATAGGTAAGTATTTAGGTCCCGATAGTATATGGCACTTCGTGAAGACGCCAAGTAAAGCTACACATAGCTATGCTAGACCCGGGCTTCACTCCCAGCCTCCTGATCTGTTTTGTAAGGGCTTGGGGTCGAGCAACCGAAGAAAGGATGTTCGATTCCATTTTGGGCTTAGGGCTTCGAAGATTTGTAAACCCCTATGACTATGTGTTTTCCGGTGTTCATCGTTTAGGGTGTCAGGTATCGGTGACTAAAGCATCCTAAACCCCAACTGCTTTAGTCCCTAATCCCAAACCCTCCTCAATCGAGCGATTCAACCCCAGACCCGTGAAATGCTCGCGGCGGGACCCTAAACCCTCTAGGGTTTAGGGATGGATGCGGTCGAGGAGCATCTAGGAGGATGGCGAAGCGGAAATACATCCTCACAGCGTCAGAACGGAGCACGGGAGAGGAGAGGGAGAGAGAGCAAGAGGGAGAAGACAACATCGAGGGCGAACGAGAGCGACCACAGAAAGAAACATCGTGGATAACAAGAACGAACCACAGACAAAGAGAAGGGCGGAGAGATAGAGAGAGAGAGAGAGGAACAAACAATGCCCATGTAACTACGCCGAAGAAAAGGGTGAAGATCCTTCGAAACCCAAACCTTCAACCCATGGAAAATGGCTCGTGCCTGAGATCCTCTTCCATAGACGCAGGAAGTTGAACAAACTATAGACTATAGACTTTCCCAGTGGCCTATCTAGTTGAAGTGATGGGCTTGGGGTTCTGACTCACAGAATCCTAAACCCGAAACTCCCAAAATAAATAAAAAAAATAGAAGCTTGTTCAGGGTCTAGGGTCTAGGGTTTAGGGTTAGAGAACTAAACTAAATAGAAGTTTGTTTAGGTAGTTTTAGGGTTTAGGGTCTAGGGTCTAGGGTTTAGGGTTGAAGAACTAAACTAAATAGAAGTTTGTTTAGGGTTTAGGGTCTAGGGTCTAGGGTTAAAGAAGTAAACTAAATAGAAGTTTGTTTAGGGTTTAGGGTTTAGGGTCTAGGGTTTAGGGTTAAAGAACTAGACTAAATAGAAGTTTGTTTAGGGCTTAGGGTTTAGGGTCTAGGGTTCAGGGTTTAGAGTTTAGGGTGTCAGCCCACCGGCTCGAACCCCCGTCTGCGAAACGTGCCCGCCCGCAAGGGAAGCCTAGCCAAGACACCTACAGCCTCGAGGGGTTTAGGGTTTAGGGTTTTAGGGTTTATGGTTTAGGGTCCGAGCCCCCGACAACTCAAACACATGGCTGGACAAAAAGGTTCGGTCAAACCTTATTGGCACCTAAACCCTTGCCACTTTCTTTAAACCTTACCAAAACCCCAAACCCTAAACCCTAAACCCCTAAACCCTAAACCCAACTTAAACTGCAACAAAAGCTCTGAAACCTGAAGCTCCGAACTTTCCGGTGCCCTAGAGCTTCTGGCGGGTCGGCTGTTGGGACAATCAGCGTACTGACATCCTCCAGGTCTACTTCAGGAAGCATGGGACTTAGTAATTAGGGCTTTAAACCACAGGTATCTAAACCCTAAACCCTAAACCCTTAAACCCTAAACTCTTAAACCCTAAACCCTAGACGCTTAAACCCTAAACCCTTAAACCCTTAAACCCTAAACCTTAAACAATTGCTGATAATCCTACGAGCACTTTTACCATTCATTCACGGAGTCCCAATGATCCCCCAAGCAGGCTTGAGGAGTACAGAGTTTCGTGACGTTTAGCACTTGGGGCACATTTAGTGTTTCGGGGCATGGCAAAAGCAGATATGGTTACTATGAGGGTTACCATCAGAGATCCAGGTTAATGTCTCGTCTTGCTTCTTTTCGCCTTGAACCCTAAATCCTGAAGGCCACCCTGAACCCTAAACCATGCTCTGAGACTACCCCTGCAGCCGTGGTGCAGATCTGCAATGGTGGCGAGAAACAGCTCCTGATTGTTTAGGGCTTCAGGTTTAGGCCTCTAAGTTAAAGGAAACTACAGGTGGGGAGGTTAGGGGTAGATAGGGCTTCTATAAGGCTTCTAAAAGGTATATAGACCTTCTATACGGATCTATACCGGTAACTACTCACCTGAACATGTCTTAGACCCAACCCTAAATCCAAAACCCTAAATCCTAAACCAATATGGTTCAGACCTTACGGCTTCTGGTTTGGAGTCTTGGGGTTTAGAGCTAACGGCTCAGGGTTGAGTGGTTTACGGTTGAAAGGCCCTAGACGCTCAACTCTAAACCCTGAACCCTAAACCCTAAACCCTAGTCCCTAAACCCTAAACTCTAACCCTAAACCCTACAGATGCTTCAGACATCCCGTCAGTCAGTCGGAACTTTGAGGAAGAGAATTTAGAGGTCTCTCGGGTCTAGGGTTCATCGGGCGATGTAGCCCTACCCCACTAAACGGTTGAGGGTTTAGGGTTGAGGGCTTAGTTTTTTTTGACACCTCTTTTCCACCTGCCTGGTTAGGCTGAGGCTGTTGCCTGCTGCTGTCAACCACACCCCAACCCTTCATAAACAGCCATCCAAACTAAACTTAACATCAAGGGTTTAGGATTTAGGGTTTAGGGTTTAGGGGTTTAGGGCTTAGGGTTTAGGGTTTCAAGCTTCCGGGTTCTGAGATGAAGAACCTAGAATAGATTGGGACCGTAGGAAAGAGGTTGCCCGACCGTTGTCCTTATGCCACGTTTGCAAGGAGTTTCGTAGAGTTCTTCTAATAAAGAAGCCGAAATAATTAACAACATCATTTTTTTGGGGGGGGGCTTCCTTCTTATTTTGATTTATACTATCAAGGAGCCCAAAACCCCTATTCTAATGATTAAAGCCCCTATATTACGGTTCGTCAGGCCTGGGGTTCAGGAACTTAGTCCGTAGGTCAACTTGATTTGAGTGCCGCAGTAACGTTGTAGTAAGAACCCAGTGAAAGAGTTTAGGGCTTAGGATGGTTTAGAGTTTAGGGTCGAAGACATGGCCTCCTAAACCCTAAACCCCTAAA